TCGATTCTCTTACTTTTGCATTCTTTTCGAAGGATTATCTTTGATTCCTCCCTCTCATTTGTATTAAAACAACTGACGTTTTGATCTGATTTACATGTCGTCTGAAGAAAGCGATACAGAACACGGGAAGAACTCATTGAGTGAGGTCAGTTCTTTGGATGATAATTTCGCTAGAATGCAATTTGAATTATCAAGCTCCGAGGAAGAAGTTACTGATGATGACCGAGATTTACAGGTTTGGAATAAAATAGAATCAGAATCGGATGCAGAATTCCAAGAGGATTACGGAATCGTCGAAGAAGTCGCGCCAACTTCGGAAAATACTACAATCAATCCTATTGATTGCTATCGACATGTTATTACTGACGAAATTATTAGTCTCATGGTTCGTGAAACTAATCGATATGCAGAACAACACTTACAAACCCAGGAGCTTAGTAAACGATCACAAGTTCTTCAATGGAAACCAACTGCTAATGAAGAAATGCTTTAATTTTTGGGAATTGTTCTTCAGATGGGGTTGGTACAAATGCCAAAAGTGGATTATTACTGGAGAAAAAGCAGGTTGTATGGATCCGAAGTCATTCAAAATACAATGTCAAGAGATAAATTTGAATTACTTCTCAAATTTTATCATTTTTCGAACAACGAAAATAACCATGCAGACCAAAACAGGTTGTTCAAGTTGAAACCAATTTTGGATTTATTGCAAGCCAGATTTAAGTCTATTTACATTCCTGGCTCAATTATTACTATCAACGAATCAATGGTACCATGAAAGGGCAGACTTCATTTCAAGCAATATATTCTGGAAAAATCGCACAAATATGGTGTTAAGATATACAAGGTCGCGAGTGAGAATGGATACACTTGGAATTTTATGGTTTATACTGGTAAACAGGACCCAATGGCTGGTCTTGGACATGCTCAAACAGTCGTAATGGATTTGATAGACGATCTTTTGGGATGCTATCGAACTGTAGTAACTGACAACTACTTTACAGGTATTTCTCTTGCAAAACGTCTATTGCAAAATGATACGTATCTTATTGGAACACTGAGAAGTAATCGTGCCGGATCACGGCATGAAGTTGTGTAGGAGCAGCTCAAGCGTGGTGAAGTTTATGGGGTCCAGAACAAAAACGACATAAAACTGATTAAGGGGAAAGATAAAAGAGACGCTTTGATGATATCCACAAAACCGTCCCATTCAACAACTGTGGTAGATATCAGGAAAACCAATAAATTAAATGAGCGCATCATGAAGCCACAAGTTGTCCTCGATTATAATGAAGTAAAACAAGGTATACATTTATCCGATCAGCTATCAGCATACTATACATGCCACAGACGATCTCTAAAATGGTATCAAAAGGTAGCATTTGAATTGATATTTGGAACGGCAGTGGTTAATGCCTATTTGATTTACAAAGAAAACTATGACAGAAGCTATATGACCCTGCTACAATTTCGTGAAAGTCTCGTAGGCTCTTTACTCCTTGGTGCACCATTCGAGAATCTAAAACCAGGCCCGAGATAACAGTCAACAAGTCAAACGAAGTGGAAACTCGCCGACCACAAGCTCGAAGAAATAGAAGACTCCGATCGCGATGTCCGAAAACGTTGTGCTGGCTGCTGCGAGAAAATCAGACAACAGCAGTCAAGAGAAGCAAGTAATGCGACAGTAAAAAAAATAAAAACATTCTGTTCGGATTGTGACAAATTTTATTGTCTTAGTTGTTTCAACGAGAAACATCACGCTATGTAATAAACAATTCAAACAATGACGAGGCAGAGCGGATGAGATATTATATCTAAACTCCTGCCCGAAGAAAAGGAAAAGAAAGTGTTTTTCTATTCATTTTTTGTCAAAATATGGCGGGTCCCATCGGTGGGACCCATCGACTCGAAAGGGTTAAGGATAGAGTTAATGGGTTAGATATAGATTTAAGCGCTTAGGAATAAGATTAGGGAGTTAAAGATAGATATAAGAAGTTCATGATAAGGTTAAGAGATTAGATATATATTTAAGGGTGAAGGATAAGGTTAAGGGGTTACATATAGGTTTAAGTTGTTATGGATATAGATAAGTGTTAAAGTATAGAAATAATGAGCAGTGCTTGACTAAATGAGTCGAAGGGACTACGTTTCAACATGATGGAGCCAGTATTGGAAGAAGGAGGAGAACATTCGATACTGAACCAGTTGAAGCCACAACCTAAAAGCGTTCCTAAATTTGTACCTAACTCCCGAGTCCTAAAAATTTCGGAATGATACCTTTCTTGTTTAGAGAATACTACTACACTAGACTCCTGCGTTTCTCAAATGTTAAATTTTCTACTGATGTCGAACAAAACCTCCGTGCATATTCTGATATTTCTACGGCCCCTTATACTATTAGTAGAAGCAAATGCCTAATTCGAGTTCAAATAAAACTATGATTTGTGAGTTCGAGACAGGCACTTTACTATAAAATTTTACAAAATAAAGTTTCTGCAATTACAATTGATCGAAAGTTCTGCAATC